GCTTGCTCCCCCCAGCTGCCTCCTCTTCCTTCACCGACTGCCTGCGGAGCTGAGGGCTGGGGTGACCACCTGCCCAGGCTGCACCCGCCGGCTGGCTCCACTCCCCCTCTGCTACACAGCCCCCTAAGACCAGGGGGACTGCCGGACAAGCCAGTTTTGTCTGCAGAGAGGTCCCCGGTGGAGGGTCTCCCAGCCAGCTGCAGTGGAGAAATGGTCCCAGGGGAGCAGTGGGACAGGGGGAAGGAAGGTCTCAGCTGAGCTTTCACTTTCCCAGGAATTGTGGTTGCACCCCAGCTTGGGTATGAGCCACGTGAAGGTGCCACCACCAGCCGACCTGCTGGCTCTACAGGGGGAGACTCGCTGATGAGCCTGTCACAGCTTGAAGGGTGCTGAGGAGGCGGGTGGGACTGAGGTATCCCAACAGCACCACGTCTCCGCACTCCGGTACCTCCTGGCATCGCCCGATGCTGTGGGATGCTCGTGGGAGGAGTTTGGGCAATGTGGGATTTACTGGAGGTAGGTGGGACCAGGCTAGGGGCAAACTCACCGGCACGTAGCTGTACAGGGTGCCCAGCAGATGCTTGGGGGCACTGACGAGGGTGCCAACTGTCTCCATGGCCTTGGACAGCCTGCGGGGTGTGAAGAGGATCAAACCCTCCGCCGCGTCCCAGGCCACAGCCGGGACCTTCTTCACGCTGGAGATGCCGGAGGCGCAGGCAGTTTGCAGGTTGTGAGCCACGCTGCCCACCAGCCCGGGGCCATCCCCCACCTGCCAAGAAACAGCTCAGCCAGGACGGGGGACCCTGGGCTCCCCACCCCCTCCGCAGCCCAAAGCCCGAGTGCTTTTGGCTCGCTGCTTTGTCAAACCCACAACAGCCTTTTGCAGCAGGGTCTCTTCCCTGTCCCTGCCCCGGCTCCTCAAACTCCCAGGCCCCGGGGGATCCCCTGCTCTGGGCTGTGCTTCCGCTGGAGGCAGAGGTGAAGGGCAGCAACCCTGACCTGCCGCTTCCCGTCCCCACATCCCAGTGGAGCTGCTGCTGGGGACCGTTCCCAGACCCTCGCTCCTGGGACCATTGCGGGGCCATTTTTCGGGGGTGTCTGGGGGCTCAGTGCTGACACCCCACAGCAGCAAATGAGTCCTGAATACCCAAGTCAGGGTGACCCTGCCTGGTGCAGAGGCTGCCCACAGCCCCAGCTTTGGGGTGTCAGGGAAGGGGGCTGCCCTGCTGCAAACCCTTTCTCCACCTCTAAGCTGCAGTTCAGGGGTCAGCAGGGATGGGGGCCTGGTCCCCAAGGGTATGGGGGGACGTCTCCCAAGCTGGCATGGTCTGTGGGCAGGAGGATGCTTTGGGGTGCTCCCAGCTCACTGACGCCCTTTCCTCCATACCTCCTTGGTGTGGTGGTCGTCTTTCTTCCCTGCTTTTTCCTGCTTCTGCTCTGGCACCTTGCTCTGCCGGCGGCTCAGCCAGCCAGCTGCCGTGCTCTGCCCATCACCATGGACCCGTGGCTCCTCAGGCACGCTGGGCTTGGCCAGGCTGCCCTGAAAGGAGGGCAGAAAGCCACTGCTTGGGGGAGGCTGGCAGGTCATATCCTGCTTAGCCTGAGGATTTCATGGGGACCCTGGGGTGTGCAGGGAGCAGAGGGGTTCATTGATATATGTGGGAAGAAACCCTGAGGGCAGCTGGGAGCTCTGGGATTTTGGCATATGCAGGGAGGTGGTTCCCACTGCAGTGCTGCATGGGGGAGGAGAGGCGCCTCCTTCTCCCCATCCTCTCTGGACCTCTGCGGGGGCTCTGGGCTTTAGGGAGGATGTTATGGCAAGGCTGTAAATCAACAATATACATCGGGAGCCAGCTAAGAATAACTCATCCTGCTAACATAGTACAAGTTTGTGTGTGGACGTGCCATGGGAACTGCTGGCCCTGGCTCATCTTGCTGAGCCGGGAAACCAGCGGTGCCCACCACTCTGCTCTCAGATGTGCTCCAAAGAGCCTGAGATGTCTCCATCCAAAAGCAGAACTGGCCCAAAAGAGGGAACGGGGGAGCAGGAGCCTGGCAGGTGGCTTCTGGCACTCACCAGGATGGGGATCCATGTGGCCAGTTCCTGCCCTTTAGCTTTGGCACGCTGGAGGGTTTGGGTGGTTTGCTGGTAAGCGCGGTGGGAGACGGTGCTAACCAAGGTGCCAATCCGGCCCAGGGTGCTGGGAGCACTGGGAGTGCTGGGAGCGCTGGAAGGGCTGGGCTGCTGCTGGGAGACCTTTACCACTGACCCACGTGGCTCTTTGTGCTTCTGATCTAAAGGCAGAGGAGCACAGGCAGAAGAGTGGGGGTGGAGGGGTTACGTCTTTATAGGACAACACTCCTAGGCAGCCCTGCACCAAAATCCAGGACCTTCCTCCTGCCATATGCCACCCCACATGCAGCCAGCCCTCCCCCGACACACTCAGCAGGGATTGGGGCATCAGGACTACCTGCTTCTTCATCCTCCTCCGGCAGCAGGTACTCCATCAGCTTCTCCAGCCCTCCCAGGGCCGTATCGACCCCGGCGGCTGCCATCTGGCTCACCGAGTTCCTCCTCGTGTACCTTGCCGTTGTTTCCACTGTGCTCTTGGTGGCCTCGTAGCCCTCTGCCGCCAGCTCCATGATCTTATCCACGGAGTTGCCAATGGTGCTTTTGGCACTTTGGAGTGGGGTGGAGATGGTGCCCTTCAGTTCGGATGCGAGCTGCAGGCAGAGAGATGGAGAACAGCCCTCCTGGCATGCTCGCGGTGGCATGGGACAGTCAGAGGGACCACAGGGACCACAGCCATGGCCATGCCAGTAGACAGCCCCAAGAGGGGCGTAACAGCTCTCTCCAGCCTGGGCTGGAGTTAGGTAGAAGGGATGGGACATAGGACATGGTTGACCTATATTTCTGGAGTGCCCCAACCATCCCCTGGGGTGCAGGAGACCCAGAGGAGTCCTTGCTTGGAGGTGCTCCCCAAGCAGCCCATTACTGCCCGGAAACAAGACCAAAGGAGATGTGCTGTGGGCTCTGCAGAGGGGCTGGGGGGTCTGAGACTGTTCTGCCTGTGACTTACCTTGTCGACGGGATACTGGAGGGCAGGGATCTTCTCCTCCAGGTGGTCCAAGCCCCGGCAAGCCAGGTTGTTAGCCACAGCGACTGCCTTGGGCAAAAGCACGGGGGTGGGTTAGTAAGAAAAGCTCCTTGGCTATGCGAGGGGGTCTCACGTACTGGTGCCACTGCTGTCCCATCAAGGGAAGCTCTGGTACCACCCCCCTGCTGTGTCTTTCCCAGCGGATGGACTCACACTGAGGCTCCAGCCTGCGCACCACAGGTTCCACGCTCCACATGGCCAAGGCGCCGGCACCCTGCACACCCCGCTCGTAGACCTCGCACACGGAAGCCATGAGTGGGTGGGCCTCCTTGGTGCTGGTGTAGGTTCGCTGGAGGCTTTTGCAGGTCGAGCTCACCACTGGCAGCTGCAGGACCCTCTGCAGCACGTTCTCCTGTGCATGGCGTATGGACACCGGTGAGCCAACAGCCGTGCCCCGAGGAACACCCCGTTGTCCACAGGTCCATGGCATTTGGTGTGTTGCAGTGAGCACAGAGGAGCTCAGCTCACTCTTGAGGCATTTCTCCAACCTCAGTGAGGGTCTCCCATCTATGTTGCACGCGGCACAGCCACAGGCACGCAGGCTGGCTGCTGCTGCTGGAAGGAGCAGGGACAACCATGGGCAGTATCAGAGACGTGATGGTCCCCACACCCCCATGTCCTAGACACAACTCTCCAGGCACTTCCTCTGGCTTTCCACCCTGCTCTGCTGCTTATTCCATCTGAGCCAGCCCTTGCTCCTGTCCTTGGACAGGCAAAGCCCATTTTGTGGCACCTCAGTCCTGTCACCACTATGACAAGTAAGGGGTATGGACCACAAAAAGAAAGAGAAAGGAGCATCCTTGTCCTTGATAGCACAGAGGGGTTTGGCAGGAGCCACTGAAAAAGAGGGCACCAGAGCTCTACGAGGCAGGAAGACACTGTGTCCCCACACCCCACTAGCACGGGCGACATGGGACACCAGTATAAACCAGCACAGATGATGCCAGTGCCAGAGCACGGCTGGAGGTAGGTCCCTCCACGCTGGGTCAGCAGGGTAAACCTGCAGCTCCAACCCTCCCGCTCTCACGCAGTGCCTACGCAGCGAGGCGAGACAACCGAGCAAGATGCTGCAGCCCCAAGGGAGGAACGGCACAAACATGAGCAGCCATAAGCCACTACTTGGGTTGCATGGGACAGAGCAGAAGGAAAAGCTGAGCTTTCCCCTGATGACCAGTTGGTCAGAGGCCAAGTCTGGCTTCACGTCTCACTTGAGACTGTGACTGGACCGTGAATCTGCATGTTGATAAAAGCTATATTGTTTTGTGCTGCACTGTGCTAATTTTGGCTTGACGGGGCACCAGCCCTCTCACAAATCCCAGAGCTCAGCAATCCTGGGGGCTCCAGCTGTTCAGAGCAGTGCTGCATCCCTAAGCAGCATGACTGCTGGAGGTCTGGGGTCCATAGTGGGGACACAGGCGAAGGACAAGCACTGCTGGCAGGTATCACCGAGGGCTCGCATCAACCAGGGTTAACTTTCTTGATTCTGGACTATTTAATTTCAAGCATGCAAAAGGTTTTATCCTTTCCCTTTGATCATAGAATCATGAAATCTTTCAGGTTGGAGAAGATGTTTAAGATCAAGTCCAACAATTAACCTCACACTGCTAAGTCCACCACTAACCCAGGTCCCTCAGCACCTTGTCCACACGTCTCTTAAACCCCTTCAGGGATGGTGACTCCCCCACCACCCTGGGCAGCCCGTTCCAACACCTGACAGCCCCTTCTGGGAAGAAATTTTCCCTAATATCCAATCTGAACCTCCCCTGGTGCAATTTGGGGCCTTTTACTCTTGTCCTATGTCTTGTTATTTGGGAGAACAGACTGACACCCCTCTCTGCACCTTTCAGGGAGTTGTAGGGAGCGATCAGGTCTCCCCTCAGCCTCCTCTTCTCCAGGCTGAACCCCCCAGCTCCCTCAGCCGCTCCTCACAGGAATTGTGCTCCTTCCTTGGCTTGATGATGCTCTACACTATTGCAGGTAAAGGCCCATATCCAGACAACAGGGGAACATGTGGGGCAGTGTCAGATGTGACTAGCATTCATCTGGTAGAGCTGGTGCGAGCTACCCGGCGCCCTTGGCACACCTCTGCCCTCCCTCTCTCCCTCTTCCCGCACCCACCTTGTCACTTCCATTCTGCAGAGTCTGATTCTTCTTCGCCGTCATCGTGACGTGTCCACCTGCAAAGCAAAGCTGGGAGCCGCAGACCCCACTGTGAAGGCAGGGCTGGGCTCAGGCTCCCCTCACTCGCTCCTGCACCCCCAAGCACGGCGGGGCCGGGAGCTGGGCTGAGACACGCAGCTCCCAGGGGTACACAGTACACAGCAGGATAAAGGATGCTGGCAGAGCTGTTAAGCAAACTCAGAGCATCAGGGTACTCACACGTGTGTGTGGGGGCCAGGCTGAGAGCTGAGGGGTGAGAAGGGGTAAGAAGGCAGGACAGGAGCAGAGAGAGGAGCTGCGGGTAGGGATGCGGCGAGCTGCCCAGCCATGGTGAGCATCCCCATCCCACACATCTGCCCTGCAGCTCTGCCGCTCACGATGCCAGTGCCTGTCTCTGTGCAGCCCCAGCTCGATGTGGGGGGCAAAAGCACCGCAAAAACTCCTCTGGGCAAAAACACTCCCACTGCTCCCATCTGGGTGACACCCTGCAACACACCTCCAGCTCCCACCTCCGGCACAGACCCTGTTTTCTCAGCAGCAGATGAAACTCAGGAAACCTAGGGAGTGTGGGTGATCCCTGCTCTCACCCCCCTGCTCCTGCTGGAGCTGTCCCCGGAGCACCCAGTGAGGACAAGGACAGGCTACTCACCAAGGGGCAGCTGGTCCCCAGCAGACCAGGAGCAGAAGGTGGTGGCTGCACTGTCCCTTCGCCCGAGTCCTCTGAGAGCGAAGCACGGTGCCCCAGCCACTACCACCACGAGGCCCCACCTCCCAGTTACATGGCTTTGGGAACTGGAGGGTTGCGGTGGAAACTGGCCAAGGAGCTCCCTGAAGCCACTGTAATTTGGAACAGATGACAGCAGAAAATCCCCTTCGTCATCTTCCCTGCAGAGCCCAGAAGTTGCGGCACAGCTGGGGTGCGCCGGAGTTTAATGCCACTCCACCAAGGGAAGATGGAAAGAAGTCATCCTTGGACCTTACCACCTCAAAAGCAACAGGTCACGAGCGGCCAAGGAGAAGCTGAAGTGTCAGGCAGGGTTTGTTATGGGTAATGCAGGGACAGTGAGTGTGGAGGAGATTAAAACCTTCCTGTACTTCTGTAGCCCCTGTTATCCCCCGTGGTGGGCCAGGATGCTATCCTGTTGGAAACGCAACACAGACCAAGAATACAGTTTCTCCCCAGGAGTGTTTACTAAGCTCAAGGAGCAGAAGGCAGATATGGGGGACACATCCTGCACAAAACAATCTGGTTTGACTGGGTCTGCAATTTCTGAATGAATCCATTGAGGATTTTGATAAGGAGTCATGTCAGGACAGAGGTGGCATTAGAAAAGCTCTAGGCATTTGGAGTAGACAGAAATGGAGGAAAAAATCAGGTTCGAAGTGATCTCTGGAAGTCACCTCATCTAACTCTTGCTCAAGGCAGGGCTACCCTCAAAGCTAGATCAGGATGCTCAAGGTCTCATTCACCCAGGTCTCAAAAATCTCCAAGGATAAGATTCCCATCTCTCTGGGGCCCAGTTCCAGTCCTAACCACGCTCATGATAAACCATTTTTCCCTTATGTCCAACAGGAACTTCCTGTTGCGATTTCAGCCTGCCACCTCTTCTCCGTTGTCTGTGCACCTCTGAGCAGAGCTCGTGCCCCTGTCCGCGCTGGTGCATCATGGGCCCCGTGCCCCTAAACGTCTTACCCTCCTAATGATCCGCTGCTCGACGGTCCAGGTCTCTCCTGTGCTGGTGGGGCCAAACCAGGACACGGTTCCCCAAATGTAGCCTTGCAAGTACTGCATGGAGAGGAACAACTCTGCCCTTGACCCACCAGTGATGTTCTCCCTACTGCTGCTCTTTTTTGGCCAGCCTGCCTTCCCGCACGGGAGGCACCCTGCCAACTCACATCAGAATTAGTAAATCCATTTGCGGTATTGATTGGAAAGAAGGAAGACACCACCTGTACAAAGCTGCGATGGCTTCTGGCAATTGGCTACAGAGATGAAGGACAAGCCGCGCTGAGGACAGCATGATGGAAAGAGAACAAAGCAATGGCCCACGGGGCTCAGTGCAGATGGGACATCCAGGCAGACGGCTGACTGCTGGGTGTCCTGGGCCACCTGGCACGAGGCAGGGAGACCCTCGGCGTGGGGCTGCCCAGCACCCTCATGCAGGACACAAAGGCGTGTGCCCACTGTGCCTGCGTGGCTCCCTGCTTCTGCCCACGCTGCTTGTACTGGTGGGTAGGAGACTTCCCAGGGAGGGTGGGAAGCCGCGTGTGGGAAGAAAATACCCCTCTCAAAGAGCCTGGAGCTTTCAGCCTGGGCTCTGCAGAGCTTGCAGGCCTGCCTCGCTGGCTGGGCACGAGGCACAGGAATGTCCTGGGCTGCCTCCAGCCCGGCAGCGGGTGAGTCGGAGCTCTCCAGACAGCAGGACAAAGGGCAGCTCTCTTGGCACAGAGGCATGTTCCAGCCCTGCCGGCCTTGCTAACAGTGCAGGGGGCATGCCAACCTCCTCCCTGCCTTGGCTGCAGCTGGGATCAACAGACAACACAGCCTTTGCCCTACTAATGCCTTTGCTCATCCCCTCCCGTTCCTCTGGGGCAAAGGCTGTGCCAGCCCCGGGCTCCACACAGCAAAGGCACCACTGCCTCTGGCCCCCGCTGCTCCACCCTACCCCAGAAATTCTTTCTGCAGGCCACATTTGGAGCTCAGTGGATCAGCTGGGTGCAGGCAAGCAGAGTTTTACACCCTTGTCTCCGCAGTCGGCTCCACAGCCATGAATACACCAGGACGAGGGGATGAGCCAGGTCCCCAAAACCTGCGAGGCATCTTCACACTTAGGTCTGGGAGGGGGCTGGAGAGGTAACTAATTTATTTCCATGCCCTTTGGCAGGAACAGCACTCCCTAAACCACTGCTGTCAGATGTCTATCCAGTTTCTTTTTAAGGAATGCCTTCCTGGGCAATCCATTTAGTCTTTTATTTTACTTACAGTTCAAATAAATTCACCTGTGTGAATTAATTCTCCTTTGCTGCAATATAAAGATGTTACCTCCTGGATGGGTTTAGAGACCAACTTATTGCCTTCCTCTTGGCAGCCAAGCTTTTAGACACCTGACAACTTCTGATTCCCTCCCCCAGCCACCTTCCCTCTACAGAACCTGTTTGTTTGGTCCCTTCCCCAAAATGTTGGTTTTGAGAGCTTTGTTCATTCTTGACACTCACCTGGGAATCCCAAATGGCTCATGCATTTCTTGAAATACCACGCCCAGCATGGTGTTAGCACCAGGAAGGTGTTAGCATGGTGTTAGCACCAGGAAGGCCCCGTCTGTCAGCGGAAGGGAAGATTCTTTTGCACATCTCACACGGAGCCCTCTCCTGTGGGCCATTGCGAAATGCCTGAGACCAGAAATTCAGACGGAAACTCTTGCTAAAACACTGCTGAAAACAACATTTTACACATTGTTCGGTGACATTTTGGAGCTTCCAAGTTTGCAAAGCTCTTCCTGCGGGGGGTGGGAGCTAACAGTAAGTGCAGTTTTAAGTTACCCCAGCTCCATCCCTGCCCATCTCCACTGGAGACGTTACCCTTCGGTCCCTGCTGCTGAACAGCTGCAGCGATTTGCCCTGTGGCACTAAGACCCACCCAAATGAAAGGTGGTTTTTAAGGTGCTACAATGGAGGTGCACCCATTCCTTCCCTGCATGCTGGGCGGGAGGCTCCAGCCCTCTCCACTGGTACTCAAGGGCAACTGACAGCAACTCTCTAAATGCCGTTTTGCTTCGGGGCACGTCATATGTGGGTACTCACATATTTACCTCTTCGTGTTTTTCCAAGTGAAATGAGGATTGACAACAAGTCTGGCGAATCCTTGCTACTGTGACAGGCCAGCTCCGTAACCCCAGAGCAAATAAAGGCAGTGTCTCTTTAACGGTATCACACCACAAAATTCAGAGATGGATCTCCTTCAGCATCTTTTTTCCCCACCATGTAAGTCACACCCAGACACGGTGTCACACTCATCTCAGTTTATTGCTTGCATTCAAACAGCTGTCCTTGTTCCAACTGCGGTATTAGAAACAGCTACGGAAAGAAAAGGCACGAAAAGGATTTTCTCCATTTGATCGTGATGCTATGGCTTCAGCCACATTACGTTAAGGTAAGTTGCCAGCCTCCGGCTGGGGAGCAAAAGGCAAGTGTTAATGCTTAACATCCAGTTAAGCGTTACCCCCGTCGCGTGCAATGGGACAGGTAAGGCTGAGACAGGCTGAAAATTCACTGCCCTCATCTCCCAAGAGTAGGTTTGCTAATCCACGCCAGGCCCTACCAGAGAAACACCCATGCCTGGCTCACAGCTTCGCACAGTGTCTGGCACATGGGGAAAACTACCCTTCCCCCATCGGCAGGGCACAGAGAGGTGTAGCTGGCTAGGGGCCACATCACTGTGTTAGTCCATTTCCCTCTACCTTGAATGGAAAAGGAAAAATCAGTTTGCACACGAGCGAAAGAAGTGTTTTGTATCCAAGAGCTCCCCTGAGAGGGATTCAAAACACATTTTTTTTTGCAAGAAGATGAAATTCTGTAGGCAAAGGGTAGCCAAACCTCCACTGACACATCATCAAGGCTCCTCCTCCTTCCTTACAGGGATTGCTACATACAGGGATAGGGACCAAATCTGACTAAGGGAGGGATGGGCCTCACATTGCCAGGGGCTCAAAGGGAGTGAAGAAACAACAGCAAATCCATTGTTTGAAAGGAGGGGAAGCCCTTGAAGACATCATATCCCAAAAGCAGTGCTCCATTACAGTCTGGACTGCCAGGACGCTCTACTTTTAATGGTATTCATTTCCATATTGAAAAGAGGAGCTGCTGCAGGCCACATCTGGTCTTCAAGGACACAGAATTATCCTGCCCAGCAACCTCTTTTTTCAAACCCTTCTTTGGCAGGCTAACACTTCAGATTCAGACCGGAAGTAAGCCCAAGCCTGACCACAATGAGTTCAGGTAAACCA